CAACTTAACAGGATTTTATACCGCATCCTGAACGATCATGATATAAAGCCAAATGAAACAACCTTTACAGGTGGTATACGCTCGCACTTGCGGCACTTAAAAAATATGGAAACGCCATCAAACAGACGCTGATATACACTGAAAATACGCCCTGCTATTACCGTTGAAAAGCACCATTTTTAACCACATTATCAAAAATAAACTATCCGTTATTAAACGGCTAATCCGCCAGTGAAAAAGCAACAGCCGCCTGCGAGTGCAATAAAGTGGTATCAAATACAGGCATTGTAACATCTCCCTGCTGCACTAATAATGGAATTTCGGTACAGCCAAGAATAACCCCTTCGGCACCGCGGGCAACCAGTTTATCAATTATGGCGAGATACCGCTTTTTTGTTTCTGCAGCCAATATTCCCTTGCATAACTCGTCAAAAATGGTTTGGTGAATAAAATTGCGATCTTCTTCATCAGGGATCATAACTTCCAGCCCCTGGTCTATAAGTTTATCTTTAATAAAGTCAAGCTCCATTGTAAATTTCGTACCTAAAAGGCTCACCTTCCTGAGTCCGGCCTTCCGAATCGCATTGGCTGTAACCGTACCAATATGAATAACAGGTACATTAATTTCCTTTTCGAGCCGGTCAGCTATATGATGCATGGTATTAGCACAAAGAATAATCCCCTTCGCCCCCGCAGCAATCAGATGCAAACAACCTTTTAGTAACAGCTGAAAAGTCGCATCCCAGTCGTCTGCGTCGTTGTTTCGTTTAATATCGGCATAGTTAACTGAATAAATAATACACTCAGAAGAATTGAGACCGCCCAACTGCTCATTAATACCCTGATTAATAAGTTTATAATATTCAACCGTGGAGACCCAACTCACACCACCAATGAGACCAAGCACCTTCATACAATTCTGGTTTTTAAATAGTTACAAAGAACACTAAATATAAACAATGTTTTTTAATTCATAAAACAACTACACAGCACATACAGGCTCCTGCCCGCAAAGTCCATGCAAGCTTCCGGAAAGCCATCATCCTATGCCAACCCGTGATCCTACAATTAGTCTTAAAATAATCGGTGCTTATCAAGTGTTTTGGCGCGGCTTTTATACTTTTAGCATAAATAAGCATTACACTATGCGCGGAAAGAAACGTAAAGGAAAGGAAACCAGTGATAACCGTAAGCTGCTGAAAGGCAAGCTGGAAGTAGC